AAAAGAACAGACAATGACTCTATTTCACCACTCACATCACCCTGTCTGCATCGCACCAAGCGACAAGCATCACCAATACTGGGAATCTTCCCCTTCAGTTGGTCAACTTTTAGTAATCACTCCTTTCAAAGGCTCCCTTTTCTTAAGTGTAAAACAATTCACATCTCTTGCCCCCATTCGTTTAACGCGGAGCGCCTTCTCCCTCTGATGAGCAGAAACACAAACAATTATCACAAGACCACTTCTGGTTACCCTCACCGATTCCACAGCACTCAACTCTGTATTCACCCACCCTGAAACCACAAATGGATCAGCCAAAAGACAAGGTTCCACTTTTTCCAAAAACGTCCCTGCTACTGTCACAGACTCATCTTCATTCTGACCCTCGGTGCAATCCTCGGGTTCCAAGAACTTCACCACACCTTCCACCTCCGATACTTCACCCTCATTCACTTCCATTTCTCCTCCTGTCTTCAGCTCACTCTGCTTATACATTATACCATTCTTCTTTAACAAACCATCTTTCTGTCTGTAATAATACCCTTTTGTGGGGAAAAACTGATTGGCTGGGCCTTGCTCCACAGTGGGTGGGCCAGTCTCCCAAGTGGGTGGGCCGATGCCCTCCCAGACCCACCCATGGCTGCGCCCCAGTCCAGTCATGTAAAATCCATAGATTAGGGCCTAATAAATGTATTTCAATTGACTGATTTCCTTATATGAACTGAACTGTAACTCAGTAAAATCGTTGAAATGTTTGCATGTTGCTTTTATATTTTTGTTTAGTATATTTTATTTTCTAATTAATCTAGTGTATATTCAGTGCGTTAACTATTCAACTTTACCTCCTAATCGTTTTGAAATAAGTGCATATGCGCCTGCAATTCTACATCACGAGGATTAACCTCGGCAGCTTCATCCGGTAGAGCCATCGTTTTCCTTATATCGTACTATGAACCGCGGCAGATTGAAGCTTGATATTGGTTTAGTAGGCGTCCGGGACCAAGGCGATTGGATGCGCAGACTGCAGACTGGACAGACAAGTTCGTTCTCCGCTGATCAACGTTTATAACCTAAATTGTCAAAAGAGCAGCACGGCAACTTGTAGTGCTGTTTTCTACACATAATTGTCAACAAATTAATTTGCTGGCACTGTTGAAGAATGCTTCCTTATGACAGCATATGATAATATAGTTTACTACTTATTGAGGTAAAGTTGGAATATTGGGTGGATATCCGGTTTTGCTCGTCTTCTTCTTCTTCGGTGGGGTTTATCGGCGGTTGGCATCCAACGTTATGGTGCGTTACCGCCACCTACTGTACTGGAGTGTGGGCCAGAGACGGCGAAACTAAATCCTACCTGCCAGCCCCGTCGCTCTTAAAAAAGATAACAAACTATTTGAGACTATACCTAATGGCGTTCTACTCAATACAATACTATTAGACTAACTTCCTGTATCCCCTTCTCCCTCATACTAGATCTCAGCCTTTCTCTTTCCCTCTGATACTGCCCACACCATAGCAATACATGCTCCACGGTCTCTGATTCCTGGCAATAATCACACATTCCTGTTGGATGCTTTCCTATCACATTTAAGGTCTTATTCAACCAGCTTTGTCCCACCCTTAATCTTGTAAAAATAGCCTCCTCTCTTTTGTCCCTTCCTGCTGTCCTCATTTTACATTTACATTTTAGTCATTTAGCAGACGCTCTTATCCAGAGCGACTTACAGTTAGTGAGTGCATACATTTTTCATACTGGCCCCCCATGGGAATCAAACCCACAACCTTAGCGTTGCAAGCGCCATGCTCTACCAACTGAGCTACAGGAGGCTAGTCCTCCCCTCCCCGACTTTCCTCTGTACTTGAAATAAATGCCTGCCCATAGTATCTCTATTCCACTGCTCGTGCCATCTCAGCACCATCAATGTCACTATCAGGCTTTTTGCCTCTGCCTTGCTCATTGAAACTACAACATCAACATCCCCACTACTAAGTGCTTGTTTAGCCAGTACATCAACTGCCTCATTCCCCTCCACCCCCACATGGCTGGGACCCAAGTAAAACTTATCTGTATACCCATCTGTCTAATCCTGCCATGCGTTTGTAGCACCTCATAAAGCAGGTTTTGTCTGCTACGTGAGCTAAAGGACTGGAGACTCATCAACACTGCACATGAATCAGAGCAAATAACTACTCTGTCTGGCTTAACTTCCTCCACCCACTGCAAGGCCAACAGTATGGCCATCAGCTCTGCCGTATATACAGCCAGATGATCTGTAATACTTTTCCTGACTGCCACCCCACATTCCTGCACTACAAATGCTGACCAAGTATGTCCTTGATGTTTTGAACCATCTGTGTAAATGGCCACAAAATCCTTCTACACAGTATCCAGACGTCTCTTAAACAAATCAGATGGATCAACACCCTCCCTATCTTTTTGTAGTCTCTCCAACACTTCTAGATCAACTACTGGAGGCGGGAGTAGCCATGGTGGATTTGGTTTTCTCTCGTCAATAGCTATTGAACCAAACATGCCATGACTATGAATATGGTATATCCCAAATCAGGGGTTGATGGAAGAACATTCCACACCTTTTTCAAAAATAATATGGAATATATAATTTCCATAGTCAGGCACGTTTTGTCTAAGCGGTATTGAAGATCGAAAGCCGAAAGAAAAATACCCCCGAAATTTCAACAAGAAAAGCAGTGGATTTCTGTCCATCCTGCCCCGATTCAGAATATATCATTTTTTATAGTCATGGCACACTTTGTGTAAGAGCTATTGAAGATTGAAAGCCGAAATCTGTGGGGGTGCCCATGCAACTGGGGATCCGAAGTGCCCTTTAAGAGAGAGACAGGTTGAGATTGCCAGAGTTCAAGTGGGGCAGAACATTTCCTATGCTGAGACAGTGAAGAGAGAAGAGGATAGCCCAAGGGTGAGTGTGTCGACTGGGAGGACCCCAGTGAGTAGGCCTGAAGAGAGAGTGAGGATGAGTTTTAGTAAAGTTGGATTTCTTGCGTTTATAGCCATGGTGATCAACTGCACTGCACTGATGGAGCAGAAATCACAGAAGTGTGGTAGTTGCAGCAACTGAGAAATATTTGGGTGTGAGAGATTTTAGTGCAGAAGATCTATAGGAAGTTTTGAGAGAAAGGGTTCCATTCTCCCAGGCCGACAGCCTGGTGTAGGATTGTTTAGGGCCAAAGTAGTGGGATGGGTGTTTTGGGGGACAGTCAGTGCTTGACTTGGGCAGGAGCTCACCCAAGGTGAGTACCAGCACCTCAAATGTTCTACTGCTTGCTGCAACAGAGCCTGGATTTGAACCAGGATCTCTAGTGGCACAGTTAGCACTGCAATGCAGTGCCTTAGACCACTGCGCCACTCAATAAGCAATACAGCGTCTAGTTGGCGGAAGAACAGGCTGGAAAAAAATGGCGGAAGCGGACGATGAAGTGGATTCTGAATCCAATGGCGGTAGAATCAAGGAGTATTGGAGTATTGTCCAAAAGAATGGAAAACGGAGCAAAGTAGAGTACAGCGATGAGAATGTCCCTTCGTATCTAGTAGGAGTACGGTTTGTTATTGAGGAGCAGCTGAGCAGATTACCAATCTTGAAGAAACCATTTGAGATATCCAAACTGGTGGAGAGAGTGCTGGGTAAAGTGAAGGTTGTGAGGATCACGAGAGGCGGGCTTGTTTTGATTTTTTCTGCTTCTGCGGATCAGAAGGAACGTTTGTTGCGTCTCACCCAATTTGTTAAGTTAGAAGTGTTGCGTGTGTCTTGTCGGAATAGGGCACCCCTTAAGGTGGTTATGTCTGGTGTCTCGTGGGAAGTTGATTTTGAAGAGATGAAAAATATTCCTGGAGTGATTGATGCACGTCAGATGAATCTTGTGGTGAATGGTGAAAAAGTGAAGAGTCTATCTGACCTTTTATTTTTTATATGGAGTCTCTCCCTACTCAAGTGCAGTTAGGGTATATTAACTACAGAGTCAGAGCATTTATCCCAAGACCAATGCAGTGTCATCATTGTAAAGCTTTTGGTCATGTTTCAAGTGTTTGCAGAAGGGAGAAGCCGAGATTTCCAAGTTGTGGAGAAGATCATATCATGTGTTTTAAAAGTGAGGAAAATGTGACATGTTGCAATTGTGGTAGGAACCATGAAGCTACATCTTTCAATTGCCCGACAAGGGTGAAAGAGAATGAGGTGGCCAAAGTCAGGGCTGTACAGAGCATTTCATATGCAGCAGCTGTTAAAAGGGTTGAGGGTTTGAATGGTGCTCCTGAAGAGTCCATGGTGGTGGATAGGCCTTCACTGCAGACTGCAGGGTTTGCGTTTCACCAGCAGGACCCTGACATTATAAAGGTTAAGAAGGTGGACTTTGTGGCCTTTATAGCTATGGTGATGAATGGCACTGCCAAGGTGAGAGAAGGTCCAGTAAGATATATATCATTGTGGATGTGGCGGAGCGGTTCCTGGGACTGAAAGACTTCTCGGCCGAGGAGTTACATGGAATATTGGCACAAGCCGTACCACCCTCTCAGGCCCTAGAGCCTGAGAAGGGAGATATGGAGATTTTTAATGTACTATTTTGATTTGGGTGGATTAAGTTAGTTTCCCTATCACATATGGATTTTCTTTTTTACCTTGTTTTGGTTTTCAACTCGTCCAGCTGGTGGCAGCAATACACCTTTTTGGGTTGTAGTCCGCCATAAAACCCACAGGAGAAGAAGACTAGTCTGCCGGAAATGTACACGAAGAAACTCACTCCAAGCTATCTTCAAAAGTTGTGAGCCCTGCGTTAGCTAACAGCAAATACTTTGTCAGCAGCTAGCCTGAACAAGCCTATTCTACGTTTAGTACAGTATCTATTTGGTCTATTATTTATGGTCAATTCTATGTTAGCCTGTTACCTAGTTGTTATTTAACTCTCCAATTGTTGATTTGATAGCAGCTAGCTACAGGAGCTAGTTATAGTTTCAGTGTAGCTAGCCTAACGTTACTGTTGTTCAGTCACACAGGCTCAGCTAGAAGAAAATATGCAGCTATGTTGTCATTGACGTTTATTGCTCTGTTGGGTTTATTGAGGGTGTCTGTGTCTGGCTTATAAGCCCAGAGTTCTCTGTAGTTTGTTAGCCAGAGTAGCCTCAATAGCCATTTTAACATGAAGAAGTCAACAAGTGCTATCATGATGCATACCATCACTGTTGCTGTATGCAGCCTAGTGCTGGTTGCTCAAGGGCAGATGGACGACGACGAATGGCTTGATCCGCATGATATGCTGAACTACGATCCAAGCTCAAAGACCATGAGAAAGCCTGCTCAACCGGTTGAGGTACATTACGAAGCAGCTGTGCAATGCATGTTTCCGTGCCATGAGTTGAAATCATTCTATTGCTTTGTTGTTTGTGTTTTTCCTTTGCCATGTTTCATATTATAGTAACTATATGAAACAAAATGCTGAAGTGTGAAAATACAGCAAACTGTCTTGTCTCGTGATATTAATGTAATCGGATAACTAAATGAAATTCATCTTCACAGCTGAGTAATTACCCTAATGTACCCACCAAAAGAAGGGAATACAGCCAGGACTCAGATCAAGTGGAAGTAAAGGAGTGCAACAACAAAGTGGAAGGGTTACAAAGAGAGGTTCGTTTTGGAAACATTATTTTGGACAACCTCTCTTAAATGCTTATTTATGAAACAGTGGCAAAGAGTCACTTTTCTGTGTTATTATTATTTTTTTTTAGATTGAAGGGTACAAGAAGAAGATTACACATATTGCACAGCAGCCGTCATGCAACCCAGTGTTCAAGCGATTCCTCACCAAGCTTCTGAAGGAGATTGAAAAAGTTGGCCTGGTATGTTTTGGCATTCTCTCAACTCTTATGAACGCCGACAATCGATGTATCTTATTCTCTTTATGTAAAACAATTTTAAATGTATGTTACCACCTTGGAATGTAGTATGCTGTCTGTATGCCAAGTGCATATACTTTATGTACTATTCTATTCCATTCCTTGTCTAACCACCAGCCTACCGATCTCAAGAACGATATCCACTACGACGCCAAAGTGAGACTTTCTCGGCAAGCAGTGGCGGAGATCCGGAAGCTTCTGGAGGGAATGGACACCTGGAGAACGGGGGCTCTGGACGATGCCCTCAGCCAGATCCTGGTGGATCTCAAACCACATGACTTCGAGGCCTGGAGATGGCACTTTGAGGACACCTTTGGTGTGGAGATCGACATGGTCATGAAGGTGAGAATGCGTAGCATTGCTGAAAACTACATGGATTTACCACCGCACACACCATGTTTTATAATGTGGTTTGCCTAAAGCAGGGATGGGCAACTCCAGTCCTCAGGGCACGAGTGGTATCACACTTATTCCCCATGCCTAGCAAACACAGCTGATTTTAAACTAATTGCATTCTAAACTGAAGATCATGGTTAGTTGATTATTGGAGTCAGGTGTGATAGCTTGGGCTGGGGCAAAAGTGACACCAATCAGGCCCCAGAGGACTGGAGTTGCCCATCCTTGATCAAAAGGAATTGATGATTAGACTGTTTGTAAAGTAGTCTACACGGGCAGTGAGGATGAAATCATTTGTTTAACTTTTCTTTTAACGTGAGGAAACATCTTTTGACCTTCATACAAGAAAACAGTAGGCTAGGACTAGCCTATAAAAAAGCAACAGGATATAAAAACAAAACTTAAAATACTGCGCTGGCTGGCCTGTCTGATCTTTGCTTGATCTACTCAATTGACTCAGGTACGTAATGACTGACTGAGAAGCACATAAAGCTAAATGGCACATTTGTGTCATCATTAGTAGAAATAAACCACTCCGATTCAGAGCACAGTCATTTTAAACTCAATTCAAGACAAACAAGAGACAGAACTGACACCACTCGTTGGCATTCCAGCAGCAGGAATATTTATCATTGAAATTACACTGCCTTCAGAATGTATTCACACCCCTTTACTTTTTCAAAATGTTGTTGTGTTACAGCCTGAATTTAAAATTAATTCAATTGAGATTATTTCTCAGTGTCCTATAGACAATACCCCAAGATGTTATGTTTTTAGACAGTTTTACAAATGCATCAATAAGTATTCAAACCCTTTGTTGAGGCAAGCCTAAATAAGTTCAGGAGTAAAAATGTGGTTAATAAGTTGGACTCACTCTGTGTGCAATAGTGTTTAACATGATTTTTGAATGACTACCTCACCTCTGTACCCCACACATACAATTATCTGTAAGGTCCCTCAGTCAAGCAGTGAATTTCAAACACAGATTCAACCACACACACCAGGGAGGTTTTCCAATCAGGGCATAACATTTACACCCGCCAAATGCGGGTACATTTAAGTATTGGCGGGTAAGACGTCTATTTCACCATACACGTTGGCTGTGTATTTCTGCTGTTTTGTTTCATAGCTGCTAATCGCACAAAGAAATACGAATCCTATATCCCACCTCACGCAGCAATACTGCCTGGCAGGAGAGCTGTGCGCTCTGAGTGAAGTGCTGATAGATTCAGCATGTTGAAGTTATTAATTACACTTTGGATGGTGTATCAATACACCCAGTCAGTACAAAGATACAGGCGTCCTTCCTAACTCAGTTGCCGGTGAGGAAGGAAACCACTCAGGGATTTCACCATGTGCCAATGGTGACTTTAAAACAGTTAGAGTTTAAGGGCTGTGATAGGAGAAAACTGAGGATGGATCAACAACATTGTAGTTACGCCACAATACTAACCTAATTGACAGAGTGAAAAGGAAGCCTGCACAGAATAACAATATTCCAAAACATGCATCCTATTTGCAACAAGTAAAACTGCAAAAAATGTGGCAAAGCAATTCACTTTTTGTCCTGAATACTAAGTGTTTTGTTTGGGGCAAATCCAAGACAACACATTACTGAGTACCACTCTCCATATTGTCAAGCATAGTGGTGGCTGCATCATGTTATGGGTATGCTTGTCATCGTTAAGGACTAGGGAGTTTTTCGGTATAAAAAAAGAAACAAAGCTAAGCACATGCAAAATCCTAGAGGAAAAGCTGGTTCAGTCTGCTTTCCACAGACACTGGGAGATTAATTCACCTTTCAGCAGGACAATGACCTAAAACACAAGGCCAAATCTACACTGGAGTTTCTTACCAAGAGAGTGAATGTTCCCAAGTGGCTGAGTTACAGTTTTGACTTAAATCTGTTTGAAAATCTATGGCAAAACTTGAAAATGGTTGTCTAGCAATGATTAACAACTAATTTGACAGAGCTTGAAGAATTTGGAAAATAATAATGGGCAAATATAGTACAATCCAGGTGTGCAAAGCTCTTTAGAGACTTATCCAGAAAGCTGTAATCGCTGCCAAAGGTGATTAACATGTATTGACTCAGGGTTGTGAATACTTATGTAAACTAGATATTTCTGTATTTCATTTTCAATAAATGTGCAAAGATTTCTAAACATGTTTTCACTTTGTCATTGTGTAGATGGTTGAGATTTTATTTGAATACATTTTGAATTCAGGCTGTAACACAGCACATGTGGAATAAGTCAAGGGGTGTGAATACTTTCTGAAGGTACTGTATGTAAAGGACCTTCTCTCTCTTCCAGGTGTCTGTGTGTGTCTTAATCATAGTGGTCATCATCTGCAGCGAGATGTGGTCTATAGTCTCCTGGTTTGTCCAGTTCAAGCGAATCTTTGCCATCTGCTTTCTCATCAGTCTGGTCTGGAATTGGTTCTATCTCTACAAGGTAAATTACCAATATACACACTTCCATGCATTTCATAACATTTCCACATGCTAATTACCCCTTACTGTCTATGGTGCTTTATGTTTAGTAGTAAATTAATATAATTATCTGAAAGAATAGGTACAAAGCTCCTTTACTGCCAGTGGCCATTCTGGCAGCCTTCAGTGTAGGGTTTTCCTGATTCAGGATTGGTTCATGTTCTCCGAGGGTAAAAATGTAGGCCAAACACTACAACAATATTGCAGGTCTCTGCAAATAACGTTTTTGGGTGGGTTTATAAGCAGGTAAGGAAATAGCACAAAGTTATTTCAGGTATTTCTAATATGCCGTCTCTATTCTTCAAAACTCAAAGCCAACTAAATTTAAGGAACACCACCAAGGAATATCTTGAGAAAAACAAAATGTCTTACGAGGAGAGCTAGACTGTGACAGATTATATTTGATTGGGAGATCGATGAGAGGGATAAAAGCAGTCGTAGTCCTGGGGTTCTAACTGGTCCCGGGGATGGCAGCACTACCGCTACACCAGCCTCCAGCACACCAATGACAGTTAATCCACCATATATTATTGGATTTTCTCGACCTGTCAGATTGCCTTTGCCGAGCACCAAAACAAAATGGTGAAGATGGAGGGCGTCGACGCAAAATGCACTGGAAGGAAGAAAATCGACTGGTGGGATAACTTGAAGGGTGAGATGTAAAAATAATACTTGAGCATGGCATCACATATCTTTCCACGGGGGATCAGATTTTCCTCATCTCAGAAATATAAGTGAAAGTACATTTTATTGAATGCGTCATACTTTCATAATCATTGGTGCATGAAGACACAAAGTACACATTACTTCTCACTCGTTTCTGGCAAATAATGTAATGCCGTTTAAGAAAAGAACTTAAGACACATGGGCTTATACATTTTGACCATTTTGTTGCATTAAGTTTACTGTGGAAATGCACATCGGTTTGTTGTCGTGAAGCTTACTGTGGTGTACTCCTCCCTGCCTGTACCACAGATTGGTACAGAGGTGCCATGACTCTCCAAGACGATCCCTGTAAGATGTACTACGAAGTCCTCATGGTCAACCCCATCCTTCTCGTACCACCAACTAAGGTAACCTATTTTTGGCGACCAGGGAAAGTCAATTTCCATTTAGTCAATTCAGGAAGTAAACTGACATTCCACTTCCAGTTTTCAGTCTACTTCCGGAAATGACTGCATTGAAATACACTGCTCAAAAAAAATAAAGGGAACACTAAAATAACACATCCTAGATCTGAATGAATGAAATAATCTTATTAAATACTTTTTTCTTTACATAGTTGAATGTGCTGACAACAAAATCACACAAAAATTATCAATGGAAATCAAATTTATCAACCCATGGAGGTCTGGATTTGGAGTCACCCTCAAAATTAAAGTGGAAAACCACACTACAGGCTGATCCAACTTTGATGTAATGTCCTTAAAACAAGTCAAAATGAGGCTCAGTAGTGTGTGTGTGGCCTCCACGTGCCTGTGTGACCTCCCTACAACGCCTGGGCATGCTCCTGATGAGGTGGCGGATGGTCTCCTGAGGGATCTCCTCCCAGACCTGGACTAAAGCATCCGCCAACTCCTGGACAGTCTGTGGTGCAACGTGGCGTTGGTAGATGGAGCGAGACATGATGTCCCAGATGTGCTCAATTGGATTCAGGTCTGGGGAATGGGCGGGCCAGTCCATAGCATCAATGCTTTCCTCTTGTAGGAACTGCTGACACACTCCAGCCACATGATGTCTAGCATTGTCTTGCATTAGGAGGAACCCAGGGCCAACCGCACCAGCATATGGTCTCACAAGGGGTCTGAGGATCTCATCTCGGTACCTAATGGCAGTCAGGCTACCTCTGGTGAGCACATGGAGGGTTGTGCGGCCCCCCAAAGAAATGCCATCCCACACCATGACTGACCCACCGCCAAACCGGTCATGCTGGAGGATGTTGCAGGCAGCAGAACGTTCTCCACCGCGTCTCCAGACTCTCACGTCTGTCACGTGCTCAGTGTGAACCTGCTTTCATCTGTGAAGAGCACAGGGCGCCAGTGGCGAATTTGCCAATCTTGGTGTTCTCTGGCAAATGCCAAACGTCCTGCACGGTGTTGGGCTGTGGACATCGGGCCCCCACCTGTGGACATCGGGCCCTCATACCACTCTCATGGAGTCTGTTTCTGACCGTTTGAGCAGATACATGTACATTTGTGGCCTGCTGGAGGTCATTTTGCAGGGCTCTGGCAGTGCTCCTCCTGCTCCTCCTTGCACAAAGGTGGAGGTAGCAGTCCTGCTGCTGGGTTGTTGCCCTCCTACGGCCTCCTCCACGTCTCCTGATGTACTGGCCTGTCTTCTGGTAGCGCCTCCATGCTCTGGACACTACGCTGACAGACACAGCAAACCTTCTTGCCACAGCTCGCATTGATGTGCCATCCTGGATGAGCTGCACTACCTGAGCCACTTGTGTGGGTTGTAGACTCCGTCTCATACTACCACTAGAGTGAAAGCACCGCCAGCATTCAAAAGTGACCAAAACATCAGCCAGGAAGCATAGGAACTTAGAAGTGGTCTGTGGTCACCACCTGCAAAACCAGTCCTTTTATTGGGGGTGTCTTGCTAATTGCCTATAATTTCCACCTGTTGTCTATTCCATTTGCACAACAGCATGTGAAATGTATTGTCAATCAGTGTTGCTTCCTAAGTGGACAGTTTGATTTCACAGAAGTGTGATTGACTTGGAGTTACATTGTGTTGTTTAAGTGTTCCCTTTATTTTTTTGAGCAGTGTAGAATTGACCCCAACCCTGTTGACGGCTAACCTATTCCACAGGCCAGGACTGAAAGATAGTCACCCATACCTTACTCTTGCCATGCAATTAACAACTATTTGAGTATCCCCAAATGCAAAAAGTGCAATGTTTTTCACTTCTATTCAAACTTAAACTTTTGTCTATTTAACAATTGAATTTCAATGTAATTCAGTGACTCCATGTGGGTTTTATTAAAAACTTCAACTAGAAAGGGAATTGACCCCAACCCGACTAAACTCTAACATTTAGCCTATTTCCTGGACCTGTAGGATGCAGTGTGATAATGTATTATCTCTTTGTCTCTGAAGGCTATCACTATGACCATCACCACCTTCTTCACGGAGCCTCTGAAGCACATTGGTCAGGGGATCAGTGAGTTCCTACGAGCCCTCCTCAAGGACCTACCAATCACCTTGCAGATCCCTGTGCTCCTCACCATCGTGTTCTCCATCCTGGTAAGGACAAACACACAATCAAAGAAGCACTGTCACAAGGTCTGGGGTCAATTCCATTTAAATTCAGTCAATTCAGGAAGCGAATTGGTGTTAAATTCTTGAACGACAATTTCGATTTACTTCCTGTGCTGAAATGGAATTGACCCCAACCCTGACTGTCACACAGCAGTCATACTGTTTCCATAGCCAATTTCCTGCCTGTCCCTGAAGCAGTAAATCAATTCCTCATCTTCCTCAGGTCTTCATGTACGGCAGCGCCCAGGCTGCCATCCAGCATGGCATCACCAGACCGCTGTGTGTCGGTGGGCCCAGGGACCCCTCTCCCCCAGCCTTGGACCAGCCCATGCCCAAGGCCCGTCTGAGAGGGACAGACCACGACCCACTGGCAGGGGGGGACGCCCCTCAACGCTCCCCTCCCCCGCTCAGACGCCGACTAGGACCAGCAGCCAACCAGGGGGTTCAGGACCAGGTCAGGAGTCCCCTCCACAGGGCGCGAAAGGAGCCGACCGTGGAGACTCTGAGGAACGCCGACCGGCGGTACAGCGAGGACAAGATCGTCTCTGAGGGGTGGGAGGATTTCACTGACGCAGAGGATACCGACTCTCTACCGTTAGAGGGTAATACCGACATCCAGGAAGAGATACAACAAGAACCAGTGGTAGTTGGATCCACAACTGAAGGCAATAACTCGCAAAAAGCTAAACCCTCTCCAGTGAAAGCCAAACCAAATGAGGTGTACGTGGCGTCTGAATCTAAGGGGGTAGCTGACAGCCAGGCTGAGAGGCAGCCCTCACCAACTACACAGGGAATAATCGGAGTGGTTTGTGTTGACCTCCACTGAGTTATAGATGCAAAGGTGTTCCCTTATGAACCTGGGGGCACTGGGGGCTTATCAAAAGCAGCCTGTCATTGTAGGTTTTGAGCAGCTACACTGGAAGCGTATACTGTAGATCGCGCCAGCAGAGTGCAAGCCACTCCAGCAAGTGGTCTTGGGTGCGAACTACACAACACATTCTTGAAACTCGAACCAGAGAGTAATTTTACGCTTCAGACCCACCCTGCCAGTGTAGCAGGTTTAATTGACAACAATGGGAGCGGGTCACTCGCTGCTCATGCCCGGCCTAAATAACACATCCAGTGTAGCAGGTCTGTTATGCCAATACATAGTCTTCATTCTAAGCGGTAGGCTAATGGAAAGTAACCTATATTTATGCATACATTTTTCATACTGGCCCCCCATGGGAATCGAACCCACAACCCTGGCGTTGCAAGCGCCATGCTCTACCAACTGAGCTGCAGGAGGCCTTGTATGTTTAAATGCCAACCACAGCATCTTACATGCGTTAATGGGATGATTCAGATTCTACATCAATTGGTAAATAGTACCTTCTCTTAAATCAGCTGATCCAGTGTTTTTATAAATTTTTTATCCCAATTTTCCTTTTGCCGTCTCTTTCACGTTTTTTTTTTTTTTTACCACCACTGTGCTTTATTGTGCTTTTGTTTGCCTGCCTGGTCAATGTGCATGTACTGTTAACGCATGAATAACACCCACGTTTATGAATGACGAAAGTATGTTGTGCAATAATCCTGTCACTGTTTTGTGGCAACTCGCCTTCTGAAATGATGTGAATTATGTTCTGTATGTTTAGGGCTCGACATTAACCTTTATTCGGGACAAGAAGAATATAGCTGAGTTCACACATCACAATATCAAACAGTTACGCTGATCAGAATAGGATCAGTGTCGTCTGGATGCTATGTATTGCTGTTCTCCCAATATCTGTTTAGGATTGTATTGCATTGACAGGCAGAGCGGTCTTTCAATCATCCCTGGTTGCGAGATTTAGATCTGTGTGTAGCCACGTGTGCACTTTTGTTGATATTCCTTGCTAATTAGTGAGTTATTTGCATAGTTATAGAACATTTCTGGTCAGCAAACAGGCTTCGTACGGTCATGAAAATCCTGGAAAAGTCATGGTTTGCGCATTGGCTGCATGTGTGCGAGTGGGCCGGGAGAGAGGGAGACATTGCAGCAGGTAGGCCTCCAAAATAATGACAAGACTAACTAGATAGCCAATTAAACACACATCGTGTAGCCTGGCTAGTTATTTCTGTAGTTAACTACAGTGCATTCAGAAAGTATTCAGATCCCTTTACTTTTTCCACATTTTGTTACGTTACAGCCTTATTCTAAAATGGATTAAATTAATTGTTTCCCTCATCAATCTACCCACAATACCCCATAGTGACAAAGCTGAAATACCTTATGTAAATAAGTATTCAGACCCTTTGCTATGAGACTCGAAATTGAGCTCCATGATTTGATTGGACATGATTTGGAAAGGCACACCTGTCTATATAAGGTCCCACAGTTCACAGTGCATGTCAGAGCAAAAAAAGGAATTGTCCGTAGAGCTCCGAGACAGGATTGTGTCGGCACAGATCTGGGGAAGGGTACCAACATATTTCTGCAACATTGAAGGTCCCCAAGAACACCGTGGCCTTCATCATTCTTAAATGGAAGAAGTTTGAAACCACCAATACTCTTCCTAGAGCTGGCCGCCCGGCCAAACTGAGCAATCGGGGGAGAAGGGCCTTGGTCAGGCAGGTGACGAAGAACCCAATGGTCACTCTGACAGCTCTCCAGAGTTCCTCTGTGGAGATGGAAGAACCTTCCAGAAGGACAACCATCTCTGCAGCACTCCACCAATCAGGCATTTATGGTAGTGGCCAGACGGAAGCCACTTCTCAGTAAAAGGCACATGACAGCCCACTTGGAGTTTGCCAAAAGGCACCTAAAGGACTCTCAGACTATGAGAAACAAGATTCTCTGGTCTGATGAAAACCCATGTTTGTCCCCTGTTGTTGCGTGCCTTTCTTTGTTTGATGAAATCCATACTTTTTTATAAAACGTTAATCAAATACAACTACCGACTGTTTCCTTGTTGAGATTCAATTGGCACATGTGCATTTGCGCTGGGTTGTGATCCTAGAGCAACAGCAATAAGGAAACATTCAGTGATTGTATTTGATTAACTTTAGTCTGCGCTCAACTCTGTGGAGGAGTTGAGGTACTTGGCAAATCACAGTACAGTATCAACTGGCTGAATCCTACATTGGATTCGATGTCTGCATGTAGTCCGCCAGCAGCGGTTCCAGTGACTCACATTTGAACTTTAATCTGCTATTGTAACTTCTTTCATTCTGCTCAGATAAGTGATATGATAATAAACAGTTATTATCCTCTCGCTGGACAAATCAATTATCTTTCCGGGAGCGAGTCAGTTGGGCCTCTTGGGTGAGTTTTTTTTTTTTTAAACAAAAAGTTGTCGAATATTCCTGCAGAATGTTGTTTTTGTACTTTTAATATAAAATGTTTCAACTATGGTTATAAATGTTTCCATTTCTAGTAAGAGTTAAGACTTTCAGAAGCTCTCAAAATCAATAAGCCTAACATGAAACGTTGGTAGAAAATGTAATTCAACTTAAGTGCAGTGAACTTATGTCTTAGTTATAAAATTACACTGTACAACTACAAAACAATATGCTGAAATGACCACTGCCACCAACTGTTAATATTAGCATTTTCTAACCAAAAACCAATGTAATTCAATGCCCCCCAGTTAGCATACTCAAAATTTCATGCCCAGATAATCTCAAAATAACTTCAAACCAAGTTGTTGAGTTTTGAGTATGAATTTTAAAAGAATCCTGAATACACCTGACCTGTGACTTTTTAAAACATTTTTATTCCACCCTGGTCATGTGTCTAAGCAATGTGAAAATATGTAGAATTGAGCTTTAAAACATGTTTTCTAAATCATGGGGGTGTAGACAATTCACAATAGGAAATCTCACTCAAAGCTATATTCAAAAGTTGGCCGTTTTGAGACTTGAACCTGTGGGGTCTGAAAATGCCATGTTTCTCTTTGCCACCGACTCGGTCCGATCCGTGTGTGAGAAGGCTGGTCACTTCCCGATCTTGCTTTACCTCTTTTGGAGCGTTGACAAGAGAAACGAGAAGTCAAATTACTGTGCAAATTACGTTCAAAAGCAATAGGAATCGATACTATACTGAACAAAAATAAACGCAGCATGCAACAATTTCTAACGGCTCTTAACAAAACTCCCCCTACAGAAGACGCCTTCAACCTGCTATAGTCAGTGTATGTTTTTTATTTAAATGATTATTTCTCACTGATGAAAGTGAAGAAGCCATATCGCAAGCAATGATTATTGACGTTTCTAAAAGTTAAAACGAAGCGTCCGGACTAGTTCATGAGGCAGTCGTGGGTAATGTTCCCTCGACTGCCTTCTTTAGGCACTTAGCAAATTTCAGGTCTGCTGAGCACAAATTCTGTGCAACTTCCAGCATGCGTTCACTGATAGTAATGGCGCCGGAGGGGATGGCTGCCGTTTTACAGGCTCCTAACCAACCTATTTTGTTTGTTTTTTTGCGTTGTTTGTAACTTATTTTGTTCATAATGTTGCTGCTACTCTCTCATGACCGAAAAGAGCTTCTGGACATCAGAACAGCAATTACTCACCTCGAACTGGACGAAAATCAATTCTTTAACAAGCCCGTCGAAGGATATACTGCTTTCTCGAGAACAGGCCCAAATCCCCGTCATTTGTGTGAAAAAGGGGGCGGAGGTCGGGCTGCCTTCTGAGAATTCGTAGGCGAGTGAGTAAACCTCCACTACCATCCGTTCTATTGGCCAACGTGCAATCATTGGAAAACAAAATGGATGATCTTCGATTAAGACTATCCTACCAACGGGACATTAAATATGTTATGTTTCACCGAGTCGTGGCTGAACGACGACACGGATAATATAGAGCTGGCTGGGTTTTCTGTGCATCGGCAGTACAGAGAAGCTATGTCTGGTAAGACGAGGGGTGGGTGTGTGTCTATTTGTCAATAACAGCTGGTGCGCGATTTCTAATACTAAAGAAGTCTCGAGGTATTGCTCGCCTGAGGTAGAGTACCTCATGAAAAGCTGTAGATCACACCATCTATATTATTCGTAGCCGTCTATTTACCACCACAAACCGATGCTGGCACTAAGACCGCACTCAACGAGCTGTATAAGGCCATAAGCAAACAAGAAAATGCTCATCTAGAAGCGGCGCTCCTAGTGGGTCCTAGGGGGAAAAAAACTCTAGACCACCTTTACTCCACACACAGAGACGCACACAAAGCTCTCCCTCGCCCTACATTTGGCAAATCTGACCATAATTCTATCCACCTGATTCCTGCTTACAAGCAAAAACTAAAGCAGGAAGTACCAGTGACTCGCTCAATACGGAAGTGGTCAGATGACGCGGATGCTACACTACAGGACTGTTTTGCTAGCACAGACTGGAACGTACGGTCCGCACAGTGACCGTACGTACATATCCCAACCAGAAGCCATGGATTACAGGCAACATCCGCATCGAGCTAAAGGCTAGAGCTGCCGCTTTCAAGGAGCGGGACACTAATAAGAAATCCCGCTACGCCCTCAGATGAACCATCAAACAGGCAAAGCATCAATACAGGATTAAGATTTAATCCTACTACACCGGCTCTGACGCTCGTCGGATGTGGCAGGGCTTAAACTATTATGGACTACAAAGGGAAACCTAGCTGCGAGCTGCCCAGTGACGCAAGCCTACCAGACGAGCTAAATGCCTTTTATGCTCACTTTGAGGCAAGCAACACTGAAGCATGCATGAGAGCACCAGCTGTTCCAGACGACTGTGTGATCACGCTCTCGGTAGCCGATGTCAGCAAGACCTTGGAGCCGATTTGTGAATTACAGGAAAAGGCGGGCCGAACAGGCCATCATTAACATTGACGGGTCGAGAGTTTCAAGTTCCTTGGTGTCCATATCACCAACAAACTATCATGGTCAAAACACACCAAGAGAGTTGTGAAGAGGGCACGACAACACCTTTTCCCCCTCAGGAGACTGAAAATATTTGGCATGGGTCCCCAGATCCTTAAAGTTATACAGCTGCACCATCAAGAGCATCCTGACCGGTTGCATCACCGCCTGGTATGGCAACTGCTCGGCATCTGACCGTAAGGCGCTACAGAGGGTAGTGCGTACAGCCCAGTACATCACTGGGGCCAAGCTTCCT